AGAGATTAGATTAGATGACGAGACTAGACTCTGTGACAAGATTAGAATATAATATAATGGCAAGAGGCACGGAGTCATGGCGTAGTAGAGTAGAGTGGAGTTGAGTAGAGTGAAAAGAATTGAATAGAGTAGAGTCTAGAGTGAAATAGGGTCCGATTCTATACTCTCTAGACTCTAGACTCTAGACTGACTTGACTAGTGACTATACTAACTATACTTAGTAATCACTTCACTTTACTTACTTGCTAGTCAGGTCTGGAGTTTGGCGTTTGTGGTACTCTTGCGTCGAGATTCTGAATATAGGATGTAACGTAACAAATCAGAACTTAAGCCTTAAGACTTAAGACTTAGACTCAGACTTAGACACAGACGACTTAGTAATGACATCAATCAATGTATCAATGTATTTTAAGTTTTAATGATTGAAATTTGAACGATATGTAATGAAAATGTAATGTAATGCCATGATACTGACGCTGACAATGGCAACAAATCACAATTACAGATTACCTCCACTAAGACTAGTTAGTAGTTGCTTGTGCAAAGGTTTCGTTCAGCCGCTGTTGCTTCAGACGCGCAAGACGACGTGGACCCGGCGTTGGTGAGTGGTCTGGAGTGGTCTAAGATTGCTGGTAAGCGGGCTGAAAGGACGAAGCAGCTGGTGACCAAGGTCTTCGGCAGCGACTTGGGCTACAGACTCAACGTGCTAGCTGTCGTCGATGAGCCGCTACGCTTCCTGACGTTTGATCCGTGGCGCTACCAGTATCCTTGCTGTACTCATTGCAAAGTAATAACGCTGAATCCTAAACTCTAGACTCTAGACTCTAACTCTAGACTCTAGACTTCTAGACTCTAGACTCTCTAGACCTAAACCTAAACCTACACTAAACCTAGAATCTAGAAGTAACTAAACTAAACTCTAGACTCTAAACTCTAAACTTTAAACTACTTTAAACTTTAAACTTTAAACCTAACAATCAACCTTCAATCAAAATGTAAAATAGACCCCAAACTAGCTTCACCCCTACACCCGGACCTAGGCCTAGCCTAGAGTCTAGAGTCTAGAGACTACTGAGTCTACTAGTTAGTTAGTTAGTTA